GAATACATATCAACAAGCACTTTAATTGAATATTATATGAATTGAATTTACATTCATAAAATCCACTATTTAGAGGGAGCAATCGGTCTTCAGTAGGTAGGATTGAATAACAATATGTATAGGGTATCAATGACGGTTGATGTTATCTAAATTGCATTTTAATTGAAACAAATAAGAAGATCAAATAAGTTAATTTCACGGATTTGACTATGGAGAATATTTTTTGAATTAGTATTAAAAGTAAACAATATCTTATTTCTCAGTATTTTATTTCTATGGAGTAGGATGGGACTGTCCCATAAGATCTTTCAATTGTTCTACTTCCAGCTCAGACGGCTTATCTATTTTTGATTATTGGTTTTGTAAGCATAGGCACTAAGGTAAATCTATGCGAGAAAATAACCATTCTAAAAGAGTTGAAATATCTTTTTTTCGTCTTTCTAGTTAGATCGACAACTTAATGAAAACCAATTCACAGCACTAGAAAATTAATTTTTATCTTAGCAATTTACAAACATTCGAAACATACGAGCTCAATTATATAGACAATTTAACTATTCGAACATTATTTTTGCGCATATCATTTTCAACCGTTGGAAAATAAATTCTGATTACCAGAAATGCTAAGCTATCATTACTGGTAACGATAGTAATTGACAATGTTATTACTTCTTATTGATAGCCAGTAATCATTTTGAAAAATAACAAGCACGTAATTACTAAAAAGTAGAGCAAATGTCTCTAATTTCAACAGCAAAGTATTGTCTTATCTTGTTTGAGTCCGAAAACAGTTATTTTATATACGAGCTGAAATATTTTTATGCATGCATCAGCTCTGGATTTTGCTCTTTCAAATGGAATATAAACGGCATTTTTTCTTCAATAATTTCACGGAAAAATTAGTGATCTACGTTGATGAACTTCATCTGCCAAAATTAGGAGAAATCTCTCTAATTTCAACAGCAAGCCATTTTTTGTCCCTAATATCGAGACTTACAAAAAATTTAAGCAAAATACAATCTTTTGAGGACCAAACAAGTTTTTTACGTCTTTCGGTCAGAAAACGAACAAAGGCTACAAAAGCCATTTTGTAGAGCATATCAAGATGTATCATACTCTAAAGGTTTATGAGAAAATAAATTTGTTTATAATAAATCCAATAACTTGAGAGAAAGACATCGAAAAGTGATGGAAAAAAGTCCTTAATTTCGACGCATTCACAGAAATTGATGTATGACTACGAATAAGATAAAAACTGATTTTCATTTCAATAGGATGATGGATTTTGATCATTTTCCACGACATTATTTTGGGCTTGATAAGAATTCAATATTTTAAGCCTTGGCTCCTCAAGGTGTTCCAGAATTTTTTTGTCTTTGTTCCACTTATGGCCTTCATAAATTGATAGAATAGAACGTACTGATTACGAACATCATAGTTATTTTCAATATTAATAGAATAATAAGAGATATTTTGAACATTTTTGAAAAGTTCAAAAATCAGGTTGTGGATGTGTTTGTGAATGTTACTCTTGATATCGAGACACCCAAACCCAAAGTTGATTCCAAATGAAGTCTTTTACATAGCTTGGGTACTAATATGAAGGGTGTGAGTGTGGGTGTATGGGTGTGAACACAGGATTCTATTCACCCACACCCTACAACCTAGTCACATTCAGAAAATAATTTGCGCAAAGTTTCGATTAAAAACTAAAAAATCATATTGCATGATCATCGGAGGAGGTAACAAGACTACGTTGAAAAAGGCAGTAAAAATTAAATATCATACAAACGAAGGCCTCGAATATTAAATCATCCTAGTCTGTTTTAAGACTCATCAGCACTCATCGAATAGACGTAGTCCTCATCTAGAGATGCTTCAGTACTTAAAGAGGTTTCCCCTCAAGTTATGAAGATTTTTCTATGAGAACTCCAGAGTTGAAAACTATCGATCCATGACGTTTTGAACAAAATAATCAATATAGCAGTTTAAAAATTGATGTACTCTAGCCTGCACTGTATTTTATAAACTTAGTCGATCTAAGAGATAAGTAGTTATTATACAAGTCATTCTGAATGGTTCTACATTGGAGGTTCAGTTTGAGACGCCATATATCAATAAAGGCTCAATTGTGTTTTTGTCCGCTTTCACCAAGGTTAGAAGATCATCGTCCTATTAGAGCAGAAGCATCATCAAGAAGTGAGAAATGTCCGTAGCACATAGTAAACATACAACACTGAATAACTGTATAATATCTAATGAATATAATTAGAATCTCAATGTCAACTGAACATCTTAATTGTAAGGTTATATCAGTGATGTTCATCTATTTTACGTAATTTATAGTAGCTGCTACAAGACACCTAGTCACTTGCAATCAAAATCTGAGGCGCAGTCACATGCAGATACGTAACAGCCTTAATGCCAGCTATAGTTTAAGTTCAGATCCCAGAAATAGATTTTGTGTCTGGATATCCACTACACCCTTCTCCTCTCGAAAACTAATGGTTCACTATGAAGGAAACTCCAAAGATCGATTGTACGAACGAGAAGTGTAGTTTCAATTTTTGACTGATCAGGAATCACCGTTCTACGAGCTCATTCTTTTTGAATAAGGGTAATTTCATTCTGGTGTTTGACAAAGAGAAGTGTAGAAATACACCTGCTTTATTTATATAAAAAACAACTCTTTTTAATAGATAAAAGAGATTTAGCAGAGAGTGCATTGCACCGAAACTCAAGTGGTTTGGTGAATTCATGTAATAAGCCCAAATTCAAACTCATTAGACCAAACCCAAGCTGTTTGGGTGTGGTGCATGTGTAGTGTTCGGTTAGGCCATACACCTATTGCCATCCAATATGAAGAACTTTCTATTGGAAAACGAGATCAAGCATAGGTATGTTATCTAATCAATACAATGCACAAACTACAGGTGTGAATGTGTGGTGAGGTTGGGTGATGAGAATATCTTCACTCATATACACACGCTATCTTGAGAGCTGCGGATGGATACAACATAAAGGGATGAAAATTGGAGTCTATAGGTTTCTAAACATGAGATTTTGTTTCCGATATTAAAAAAAGATGGATTAATTTTATGCGAAATATGAAAATGCTTGATTTACCGGTGGGTTCTCTCTCTCAGATTGTTCAATTCTCTGGTCTTGTCAATTCAACTTTCTCAAACTGTGATCTCTGTCATTTGATTCACCAATCAAGTGTTCAAAAATAAGCAGTTCGCACTGCATTTTTAAGAATGCTCGATTTTCTTGGTTCAATCAGTGCACTTTTTGAGAAATCATCATTACGCCTAGTTTAATAAGAGTCAAAATAACCACAAATGTCTTTCGATAATTCGGCGATTTTAGCGCGTTCTTGGTGGATCATCCATTTTTTTCATGACTCTATCTATTGACAGAAGTGATTTAACCTGTCTCTCGGGTGTAATCTTGATAATAGAAACAGCTGTGATAATTGAATGTTTTACTCCATTGCCATGAGCGTCATGGAAATTATTTTTTTTTATTATATTCACAATAAAAAAGGAAATGCAATCACATCCAGCGGATTACCTCTATTGCAATCAAGCAATATATGTGTTTGCCTTTATCTTACGGCCTTCATAAGCGATGCACATCGATAGCATTTACGCTCAGAGGAAAAAAAGTGGCACAGTTCGATACTTGTGCCTATTTAGTTTCTTTTCAATGAAGTTGAATGTCGTGAGAAATTCATCGAAGGTAATTTTAACACACTTTTTGTTTTGTCAGCGATTAATAAAAATTTTATAACTAGCGCTGGAGTCAACCCGACCGATCGCATCTGTCCTGATTAAAGAAGCATCGGATTCAAGCACTGCATTACTTAATGATTCACCTTAACCAAAAAAAGGATTCATTTAAGAATTGTATCTATGGGTTGATAAAGACCGATGTGCATAGCCTAGAATAGATCAGATGAGATTAATGAGTATGTTCGAATGCATACATACGAAGGTGATGGTAACGGCAATAGGGAGAAGAAGAGATGAGGTTGGGTCAGGGTCTCTATTTTCATCTATATATGTTTGAAGGAATATTTTTGGGAATCGACCCTGAATAGCCAATATGAATCAAGATAATATATATCAAACACAGGCCTATCAGCAAACATATAGACCCAATGGCCAATGTGAAGCCATTGACTCATATCAGGACGTCACACAGAATAGTATACACAAGGATCATAAAGAAGAACTTGATTATTAGAAAAAAAAAACTTTTTCTATCTTTAATAAATTGATGGACGTACACAGCTGGTAGCTTTTAATGAAAATATTTGCTTAGTTCATTGAACTGTGTGAATTGCTAGTGAAAGCTTTGACAGGAAAACAACATATACAACTGTTGAGTCTTTCGTCTCTGAGTCGAACGTTTTACAGCGATGGGTAGACCGATCGTGTCGGACATAAGCAAGCTAAAGTGAACGAAATAAGAAAACAGGCTCTTCTCTATGGCAATGTGATATTGATGAGTCGAATTACGGGATTTTCTGAAGTATCAAAAGATATGGAGGCTAATAGCTCATATTGTTTTATCTTTCGGTTTTTTCATTGTTCAACAGAATGTTTGTTGTTCAAGCACATCTGTATTAAGCTACGATAGTAGTAGTAATGAAAAGTTGTATTTCTCGGTTGTATCATTGATCTATACGTTTAAATATGAGAGATAAAAAAAATCAAAAGTATATTCTAGCATAAATCTTTTTGCCTCTTGATGGAAGATATAATATGAATAAGAGAATAGTTTTCATTTTCTTTTGTAGATATCACTGTATTCTTATCGTCATTAGGAACTTTGGAATCTAAAAAAAAAGTCAAAAAAGAAATATTGACATATTAAAATCTTGCTCTTTGATTCCTTTATAATCAGTGTACAGCACACGTCAAAAATAGATTCATATTTATTCAAAATTCTAATCTTTATTTTTATCGTAATGTTATCGCCATTGTTATCAGATAATGATGATAACGATTCAAATATTACTGATATCTTGTATAACTTATGTAAAAAAAAATGAAATAGAAAAAGTTCGAAGTATTTTACCATTTATTGTTGATATAAATATTATAAATAAAATTCAAAATTCAACTGGTTCAACATGTTTACATGTTGCATGTTATTATGGACATCGAGATATGGTTAAAATTTTATTAGAATATGGAGCTCAACATTCCATAAGAAATTTACGACACAATTTAACACCATTTGAAGAAGCTCACACAGATGATATAAAAGAATTGTTTTTAGAGCGAAGAAAATTAGTTTCATACAATGATTATGATTATATTAAATGGTCAATAGCAGGCGATAATCTTCTAGAAAAACGACGAGAATTTCCCCAAGCTATTGATTTATATAAAACCTATGATAATCATCATTTAGTATCAAAATTATTAGCCGAAGTTATTCATTATTATTTAAATGAATATCTGGTAAATCAAACTAATGATGGTACCCATCCGGAGGATCAAATTACTCGTAAACAAATTGAAACAATTGAGACAAATTTTAAGGAAGCCATAGAAAAACAGGATTATTTGACATATTTTATAAAAGCTTATACATTAACGACTTTCTTCTATAGAGTCTTGAATAAACATTTGGCTTTGTTTGTATTAGAGTATTTCGATAAAACAAAAGATTTTTCATCAAATTATCGTCTTGTAAATTGTCTAGTTCACATTGTTACACTCATAATTTATCATCCAAACTTACCTCAATATCGATATAAAGGTTTATGTTATCGAGGTATGAGAATAACACAAAATGATTTAAATCAGTATCGATTAAATCAACATATATTGAATCGTACATTTTTATCCACATCTGATGACCGTCAAGTAGCTGAAATGTTTTCTGGTGAAGGTCAACAATCTAAAATGAGATTTACTCCTGGAAATAAGTCTGCATTACAATATTCATGTTTATGTCAATATTTTATAAAACAAAATTCTACAGCCATCGATATACGAAATTTATCTACGAAACCGGCACTAGTACACTTCGTCGCATTCACTTCGTCGCACGATCACTTCATCGCACGACATTTCGTCGCGTTCTGTTCGTCGCAGAATTCTTTTTTTTTTAATAACCAATGGAAATAATATGAAATAAATGAAAAAAATTACAAGAGATATGTACAATAGAGCGAGATGATTAATTGGAAAAACGGATCAACAAAAAAAATACTATTCCAATACAATCGTGATAGAGCTAAAGCTACGATACCTCGATACAATAATTCGGTAGAAGGCTGGCACAATGCATTCGCTAACCGTGTTGCATTAAATCATCCCAATATTGTGAAATTGGCCGAGAAAATTCGTCGTGAACAATCAAAATTTGAAGTGGACATAACGAAGATTCTTCAAGGTCACAATATTAAGACGAAAAAGGCCTGCTACCGAAAATTGGACGAACGTATTAATCGACTGGTCAACGGATTCGATGCATCCCAACTGGATGAATTCTTAAAAAATATGGCAGCCAATGTTACTCTTTAGGTATTTTTTTTTCTTTCTATAACTTTCTTTCTTTAGATTTTTTTTCTTTAGATTATTTTCTTTTTTGTTTTTCTTTCTTTTTTGGTTTTTCTTTTTTTTTGTTTTGAATTTGTTCATCATTATTTTTGGTATTCTCTGCAAAATAAATATGAGCAAACTCATCAATTTTACATCTTTCATTAAAAAAAATAATTAAGAGATTTATGCAACGAATGGATAGTGATGAGCATATAGAAAGAATTTTTTCTGCAACGAACAGAACGAAAGAATTTTTTCTGCGACGAACAGAACGAAATAAATTTATCTGCGACGAACAGAAAGAAAATTCTGCGACGAAATGTCGTGCGACGAAGTGTCGTGCGACGAAGTGATCGTGCGACGAAGTGTATGCGACGAAGTGAATGCGACGAAGTGTCGTGCGACGAAGCGATCGGTCATCACGAAACCGGATGAAAAAGAAATTTTGATTATTTCATTCACTGTTTTTAAAGTAATCAAAATCAAACAAAATGATCTTGATGATTCAACAGCACCAATTTCAATTGAAATTGAATTAGAGGAATGTGAAGATCCAAATGATAATAAAGATGAGTCAGAAAGTAAGATACTTTTATGTTTAAATCTCAAAGAGAATTGATCTTTTCTATTTTGTTTATCAAATTTTTAGGTGGTGAAACGTTGAGAACATTATCAATTTCATCATGTGATAGTGATATAAAAGATACACAATCATATGTAAACTTTAAACAGCGAAATTATCTTCTTTATGGCATAATTGGAGTTTTGATGTTACTTATTGTTGTGATTTTAAGTTTTATCTTCATTTTTACCCTTGTTCTTAAGAACAATCCTACGGAAAATACTATAAATATGCCTCCGTTTGTACAAAAAGAAGATAATGAAATCGATTATCACCTACCATGAGGTAAATGAGAGATAACAGAATAAGCTTTCAGTGCAATCTCTAGGGGACTCAAATGTGGAACATGATAGAGCCACTTCAATCATTATAAAGATGGAAAAGGACACTTGCTTGAAAAAAACTGTTTCCCTGGAAATTTTGCTATTAATTAATTCAAACCAAGCAATAATTAATGATTTTACAGAGTAGAAAACAATTAAAATTGTCATTTAGTGGCTCGCTGTAAGCTAGCAATATATTCCAGTTTGATCATTCTGATTGAATTTCAAGTAATCACAAGCATAAATTTTCACATACAAGTTGCGCCACTTCACACGGATATTATCGTCCAAAAAGTCATCTCAATCACTTCCTCTTAAAGTGGAAAAAGTTGACATCAGAAATTAGAAATTTTTTTAAAATAAGTCATCGAGTTTAAGAACATTTTACATAGATTGATCTGGAAAAAATCTATATTTTGTAGTTATGTATGGTATTTTACCGAGATAACTGCCAGTATGACTTTCTCATTAATTCAAAACAAACGAAAGTCGTCTGTCTGAATACATGATTATTTTCGTGAGATGTGAGTGTTTGGATAGATGAGCATATTAACGGTGACCGATCAATTCGTCGCAGAATTTCTTTCGTTCTGTCTATTCATCGCAAATAATGTTTTTTCGTTCTGTCGTCCCAGCTTAATATTGTTCCATCAAACATGTTGAACTACTCATAATTAATTTTTCTGTATAGCCAATTTGAATAAAAAAATAAAAATAAAAGTGAAAGATATACTAAAGATTACTATTTTAATTGGAAAAACGGATCAACAGAACATCTTCAAAAAACATATACTCATGATAGAGTTAGAGCGTAAGAGGAGTAATTATATTTTTTCAATCACATAATGAACTTCGACATAATCTGGGCTAAAAATCGCACTAATCCAAAGTTCTTAATCATGTAGTGAGGAAATATAGAAATACAGTATGTAAAATAATTATTCGGACACCTAGTAACGTTCATCTTGTAAAGTAAATTTCGCAAGCAAGGAAGAACACATTTTCAACTTTTTTTATATCATTCGATAGGCCGACGTCTCTATTTTCATCGAGGAAAAAAAGAGCTTTTCTCAAGAATGTTTTCATCTCGTTTTCAAGGTTTTTCAAGAAACC